GTTGTTGACTTGCAGGGAAATATTTTGACCATTCCTTAGAGAATCCTTATACTTCATTTCCTCATATGCATATTGTTTCATTTCATCCTTAATGTCAGGGGAAGGTATATACGTATTTTTAAGAGTCAGACACTTGGCACACCTGAAGATAAGTTCTTAGTAAGAGCAACTGTTAATGAAACAACACCATTAAGAACTCCCAAGTCCGGTGCACTCTTGTGCGTGTCCACACACACTTGACTTTTAAACACAAAGCCATTGTCACCGGTTGCTGGCTCCCTTACTGCACTGAAAAGAAGCTGTTTGAGTCTGCTGCCTGATTCAGGCCTCCATGTCTGCCGGTCCCCAGTGTATGATTCCTGCATAGGTATTATAGCGGCCAGCTGCTCAAGTTCAGTGTCAGCGAAACACGGCTTTAGAGCCTGACTCCAAATCGTTCGTGTGGCACTAGGTGAAACACTTCAGCTCGCAAGCTGTGCCTCAGTTTCCTTGCTTTAAAAAAGGAGTAGCGATGCCTGTTTCATGGGTTTTTAGAAATCTCTCGAACTGTCTAATGATTACATTAGAATGTTGTTATGTGGTAATGCCTAAAAAGTTTGGTGTTGATGTTTTACCTTGTAAATTCATTTTAAATTGAATAAATGTGTTTTTGTAGGTATTTTAAGTTTATACATTCATATCCATTAAGTGAAATTTACTTGAAAATACTAAGTAATTCCACAATTTAATGACCCATTTTTTTATGATTGATATTGTAAATAACAAGTTGTCATACACTTTAGATTGATTTTGATGGGGGAAGGATATTTTGTGATATGTGGCATTCAATTAATCTATTTGGTTAATTTGGTAGTATAAAAGAATTTGCAGCTAATGAGTTTTCATACTCTTGAAGATAATTTTATAGATGCTGCATTGCTTCCAGATATTTGTTGGTTCCTCGTTTTAAAGTAGGACTTTCCCCTGACAGTGTATGTTAATATTTGGAAAATTCTCTATCAGTAGGCTAGCACCATCTTGACAGCCCTGTGTTCTGCTTCTACCTTGCTAATTGTTTCCTTGGGATTATTTGGATTGTGTCAAAAGCTTTTTGCAAATCCTCTTATTACTGAAGTCATTGTTGCCAGCAGGAATAAGATTAAAGGTGCTTAAGTCTGTAGAGTTGTTTCTAATTTGTACGTGTCATTTCAGTGGCATTTTAACAGAACACAGTCTCCTGTCCCTCCCCTCTCCCTCAGTACTATCTTAAGTTAGGTCCAAGAAGCCAGACCATTGGAAGAAATCTCATTTTATCCTCCTAATTATTATGCTGGCACTCAGGAGATAATTTTTCCCTTCATGCACTGCCAATTAATATGCAAATAGACTGATAAATATTTATGCAATGATTTAAATTATGCAGGGGGTGCTTTCAGTGTATTCTGTAAATGAATTGTTCATGGACTTCAAAGTGCTGGCTGCTGTGCTAACGAGGAGAGATTTGCATAAGGCCCTAATCACGCGCATACTGATTAAGCTTCATTATGGAAACTGCCAGCTGCAATCTTTGTTTCTATTTTATTACAAAAAGGGGAACTTTTCATGCTTCAGTTGCCTTGACAATGTCAGTCCTCGCCGGTAAGAGAGACTAAAACTACTCTGAGCAACTGAAGTTTCCTTATTCAGTTGAAGATTGCCATGGTGTAACTGAAGTTGTATTTTGCTTCTCCCCCAATCCACTTTCCACGTCCCACCCTTGCTCTCTAAAGAATATAGTGTAGATCTGTTAGAGATAGTAGCACCTTCTTTCTCCCACGCCAAACTGTCTCTTCTTGCTTTGGACTGTCTGAGCCTCTAGAAGATCTCACAGCAATGCTGGACTGCAGTGACTGTGTCCTAGGTGGGTACCAGCGCAGTTCTTTCTTATAGCTTTAGTATGGAAATAGTGTGTGTAGGGTTGACTGTGCATAAATACTTCATCGCATATGCAACCGGCTTGTGGGAGGGGGAGAAGTGGACTGAGCTGGGAAGGGGGAGAGCATTTGCAAAGCATAAGCCTGCTTGAATTTGCAGTAAGTTCCTCCCTACCACTAGCTCTTCTGGTTCAGAGGATATTTTCAGTAAATAGTGTGGATTTAGAGCTCTACTTGAATGGAGGACATTTTTGCTTTTGGGGAATTTCTGTTGAAAGCATTTCATATTGTTCTAAAAAAACAGTCTAAATCTGAAACAAGATATAAAGTGTACCTCGATAATATGTACATATTAGTAAAAATGTTTTGCATACTGAATATGAATATCTTATCTAAAAACCAAAAATGCCTGGTGAAAAATAAGATGGAGCCATAGTACATAGTTGTTCCCATAAATCCTTAATGCAGAAGGAAGTTGGAATGGTTAACTGCAGTAGGACTGTTGATCAATTTCCAGATTTTAGAAACTGTTAACTATTTTCAAATTTTAATTAATACTAGCCTTTTTATTTTTAAAAATCAACTTCTGTTCTTTAGGAAACAATTTTTAAGTGCTGAAAAACATGTTTTTAGAGTTTTTTCCTAAAAAACAGTAAGATTTGGGGAGAGAAATGTGTGGCTTGAATATATAAACTGTCTTTGGCTAAGGTTTAAAATAGATTGAGGCACTTTGGTTTTTAGATGTACTGTGACTATAGTAACCATATTTTGTGCTGAGTTTTTTCTATTTATATGAAGAATTATTGAATCCTCTTTGGGTTACTCTGGTCATATCTCCAAGTGATGTTATGAACCCCAGATTATTTTTTTTCCTGTATGTAATCTTTCCCACTTGAAAAGTGGAGGCTGTCCCCAACACCATTGCAATTGCTCATAATAAAATGACAGATCTGAAAATGTTTGAATTTTTAGGCAGAAGGCATGGTCTAAACCCAAGATAGTAGTGATACTTACACAACATGATAGAAACCACTATGAAAAGGGTGAATGGCTACAATGACAAACCGATGTCAAGAATTGAGTCCCAGAGCAACCTGCAGACTGTGTTTTAGACTCATAGTCAGTTTAGTGTGCCTAGAGAGAAAAAAACCTTCAAACATAAATGAAACTTACTTGTATTTATTCTTTTACATCTACTAAGTTGGGAACTCAAGAAAGGAAAGTGCCTTTTTGAAATATTTTTGGCAATATATTTTAGAATTAGAAATTATTATTTCAGTTCACAGTTAATATCATTTAAACATTTTTCCATTCCATTCCAATGTACAACATTCATAGTTGTATAGTCAGTCAGAATTTGGTTTTATTTATTTTTGTGTATGTGTATTAAACTCTTGAGAGTTTAATAGAAAATGCATAGAAGATTCACATGGAACATCTGTGACATAATTTTCAATTTATACATGTGGAAACCAAGATATGAATTATACAAGATCATGACTTGTTAAGAACTATGCCTGCATCTTTGTTTTTATGGTTTGTGGGGAAAAATTGTTAGCCTTCTGATGAACATTAACTAGTTCGTCATTTTTTCCCATTTTGTTTTAACATACATTATAAAGGAAGCACTGAGCAGCATGTATGCTTTATTAGTATATTCTATTACATTTATTGTGACTTTTCTTGACGTTCATAAGATTTCGGTTAAGTCATTCAGAAAGCTGATATTTACTAAGTTGTACACCTGTTGCTTTCAAAACTTCGTATGCTTTCAGATGATATTTAAATTTTTCTGAATGGGTCTGGGACGGAAGTTATAGAACTGTCTTCATTTATGACTGCAGACTTAACAAATTTGAACTCTGTACATGTGAAGAACAGAACAAAGATATGTTAGAACTGCTTAAGCCCATAAGGCAAGCATTTGTTTCAAAAACTGTATTAGAAAAGCCATTGTATAGCTTCTAGATTGGAAATGAAATTTATGGGAGGAATCCTGATTCTTTCTTGCCAGTTATGCCTGTGGATAAAATAACTAAGGGCAACATGTTGGGGATTACTAACGATTATTTTGATTTTCTAGTTAAACATTTAAGCAGATGACAAAATGGGCTCGAGTCAAAATCTGAATAAATATAGTTTAAGTATTATTCTCTACTAATGATTATAGTTAGATGGTTCTTAACCTGATGAGCAGAAAAGTTAGAACTTGCTTGATAGTAAACTTTTTTGATTATAAATATGCTAATTTCAGCTCACAAGAGAAATAGAGTAAGATATATAATATATAAAAGTATAGTTTAGAGGTAGGAATAAAGTGCACTTGTTCTTATTTTCCCTCTTGCATATCTTCTAAGATGCTTGATATTGCTTGATGAAAATTTATTACTCTGAAAGTGTCCATTTAGGATATCAAGGCAGTATCATTTTTAAGTGAGTATGATTGTGACTTAATTTTGCAATTATTAGATGTATCTGTTATGCCTTGTAATCCAGCTTCTTGTACTAGTTTATAATTGTATGATTTTGGTATATTTTCACTTTGATGCATGTTTAGTTTCTTTTGGGGGGCATGGAGAGTAAATATGGAGTTATTTTTCTTAGACATGTTTTCTTTTTATTCTGTTGAGTTATTGTCCAGTCTGTTATCAAGATTACCAGTAGCTTATTTAGGTTATAATTAATGAATATCTTATGAAAAAAGAAACTTTTGGGGAATAACATATTTTGCTTTGTGAGGTACTTCTCCCCCTCCCACCCCAATTTTGTTTCTGTAATGTACTCTACGCTTCATATTATAAATCATTTTCCTCTTTTTTTATATTATACTCTCATAATTTTTCAGGTTAGATTTCTGTTGTCTCTGTTGGAAGAATCTTAAACTTCTTTAAAAGATGATTTATTTGTGGATCATTTCAGAGTTAAGGAAATGTTAAATTTCTTTCAGATGAAATTGTATTATAATTTCCAGTGTTTTAGTGTTGACACCATCTCTCCTTGAACTTTAGGGCTGTGACATTAGTCAGTATTCTTAACCTTTTTGTTTGCCACAATTTTTGCCTACCCAAACACATCCCCAAGTTTTAAAAAATCTCTAATTTATTGCAGACTCAAGAATGAACAATCCGTCAGAAACCAGTAAACCATCTATGGAGAGTGGAGATAGCAACACAGGTAAGAGATGGTCCTCAGATCCAGCCTTTTAATTAAATGTAATAGTGCTAAAAGAAGAAACTTCCTATTTAACTCGTTTTTAGTGAATAAAAACCAATGTGAGTATTGAGCTGTCAAATAAAGTTAGTATTTGCAGGAACTGGGATTGTATTTACTTAAGATTATATAACTTCTGCAGATTGTTTACTCTTTTTCTGCTATATATCAGAGAAGCTGTAGAGTAGCTGAGAGAATAATCTTGTGGGTCAGTTAGTTCTGAGTATGAATTATTAGTCTAGCTTTGTGACTTTAGGCAGTTTCCCCAATCTTTTTGAGACTTAATTTGTTCACCTATAAAATGGGAATAATAAATTTCACTGGTCACTGTATTACAGGAAATGTATTAAACATTCTGGCAGCTATACAGTAGCCTTTCAGTAAAATGTTGCTCCTGTCATGGGTATTAATCAAGATAGGAAATCTTATCGACATTTAGTATAAATTGTACTGAAGTAATACTGTTAATATAAGTAGATAAAAACATATCTGTTCTTAATACATCCTTTTAATAGGTAATTTTTAAGAAAAAATTATACTTGATTAAACCCTTTATCAGGCGATAATTAATACCATAAAATGAGGAAACTGAGACCCCCCTTGAGAGGAGGTGAGACTGTAAAGGATAGATTGTCCCCATAGCCCATACTCTTTTTTTTTTTTTATTTATTTTTATTAGTTGGAGGCTAATTATTTTATTGTATTGTAGTGGTTTTTGCCATACATTGACATGAATCAGCCATGGATTTACATGTATTCCCCATCCCGATCCCCCCTCCCACCTCCCTCTCCACCCAATCCCTCTGGGTCTTCCCAGTGCACCAGGCCCGAGCACTTGTCTCATGCATCCAGCCTGGCAGCCTGGCAGCCCATACTCCTGATATCTGACTGTGTATCTTTGTCTGCCAGAGATGGTGCAGGGACTTCTCGTAAAGGCATAAACTACAAATATACAACCATTTAAGAAGGGATACCCAGAAAGTAATAGTTTCACTAGGTTTTTTACTAGCAGAGAGGGTTGCCTCTTTGACTTGTCATTTTTAAAATGCCTAACTATTAAAAAAAAAAGTCTAATTATGGGAGAGAGCAGGACTTCCCAGGTGGCACTGGTGGTTAAGAAGTGATGTGAAGTCGCTCAGTCGTGTCTGACTCTTTGCGACCCCATGGACTGCAGCCTGCCAGGCTTTCATTCATTGGATTTTCCAGGCAAGAGTACTGGAGTGGATTGCCATTTCCTTCTCCAGGGGATCTTCCTGACCCAGGGATTGAACTGGGGTCTCCCGCGTTACAGGCAGATCCCTTAACGTCTGAGCACCGGGGAAGTCCACTGCCTGTCATTGTAGGAGACTCGGGTTCAGTCCCTGGATCAGGAAGGTCCCCTGGAGGAGTGCATGGCAACCCACTCCAGCACTTTTCCCTGGAGAGTCCCGTGGGCAGAGAAGCTGGTGGGCTGTGGTCCAGAGGGTCGCCAAGAGTCGGACGTGACTGAAGCAGCGTAGCACACACCCACACGTAGGACACAGTAAACATGAGTCCCTCTTGGAAACTGTCTTTGTTTTCCACCCCTCATAGCTACAGCGCCTTTTACTTTGAAGTAGATGATTTGAACCAGTATAGGAGCTTTCTGCCCATATTTCTTTCATTTAAAATTTTTCTGTACCTGGAGATACTTGTTAATCTTTTAATCTTTAAAACATACCTGCTTCTTTACATGAAACTGAGCAGTGAGGTTTCCTGTTGTATTTAATATGTCTCTCAAGTTACTCTGAGGCTAACCATTATAGACTGTGGTAAATATATCCTGAGAAGGGAAGGGCAGCATTCTGCTCTGTCTGAAGTGTCAACCAGTTTCTTTTATATCTCCATCTTCCTTTTTTTTTTTGGTAGCTGCAGTCCCTCTGCCAGTATTTGGCCACCTAACTTAGGTGTGGGACTTGTTTGCAGAGAGAAATAAGGCAGTTGATACCATTAAGATGCTAGAAGAGAATGAGCAGGACACCTATGCCTAAAGAACAGGTTCAAAGATGAGTCGTGTATTTCTTAAAGAAGGGAAACAGACCCAGAATGATTGGATAACACTGCGAATGTTCACTGTATCGGATTCCTTGGGAATCCATCACTATAGTAGAAGTTTCAGTAGCTACCATTTATTGAGTATCACATTTAATAAAACCCTGTTGACATGTTTTTAAAAATCTTAAGCACTATATGCATTACCTGGTTTTAACTTGAGTTCTTATGAGAGCCCTGCAAGTTAGGTATTATTTCAAGGAATAGAAATTGAGACACAAAGCCAGCCAGGAAATAAAGGCAGGATCAGAATTTATACCCAACATACGGTTCATGCCCTGCGTATGGTTCCTCCTATGACTGTAATAAAATAAAACTGAAAATTTAAGCAACACTTTGTGTATCTATTTCAGGTCTAAAACCATTTATAAAGGTGTGTAAGATAAATTCTAGCTGAAACACTTGCTGAAACAGTCTCATGAATTTCTTGCCCTGTTTTAAGATGGAGTGCTTGGTAGACTCATCCTACCATAGAGCTGAGCGGTATGAAGTTAGATATTTTACTTTTTAATGTCTCTAAAACTGATTTTGTGGGTGGTACTCTCTTAGACTTTTTTTTAAATTTCCATCACCAGCAATAATGGTTGATTTTACAAAATAGGGGAAATTTGTTTTCTTTTTTCTCAAGAATTACTGCTAATGCAATAATAGTAGAAGTTGGATCAAACGTGAGATCATCTTAACTCTGAAGCGTGATAACTCACACTTTTTGTGTGTTGACTGAAGCATTTGTTGCCTTTATAAAATTACAAATTACTTCCATGATATAGGCTTTTATATTCACTTGAGGATAACCTTGAATGTCAGTTTCTTAAATGGCAAAGGTCTGTCACTGTGTTGTTAGCGTCGCCCACTGATGCCAGGTGGTCAACTCAGGAACATAAAAGCACATTTGAGCTCCAGTTTGTGTAGTGAGTCACCATGTCTGATGCCTTGAGTGTAAGATTACGTTTATTTGTACTTCACTGCTAGTCCAGTGGGTGAGACTGCATGCTTCAGCTGTAGGGCATGTGGGTTCAATCCCTGGTTGGGGAACCAAGACCCTACATGCTGTGTGGCACAGCCAAAAAATAAAAAATAATGAAATTATAGTTTATTCAAATAATTACATGTTTATAACTTGATTTTTATTTAAAAGTATAACAAACAAGCCTGGAGATTAATTGTAAAGAATATATGGGTTCTTGGATTTTGTTAGTTTATGAATAACAAGTAAAATTTTCAGTGGAAAAGAACTCAGCATTATAATAAAACTGAAGTTTCACATTTTCTGGATTCAGAATACTTTTGTGTAGATTACTACAATTTTAAACATTTCAGGAAAAAAAATAATTTTTTATTTGTGACATTTTAAAAGAATGTATTCTAAGAGTATTTAAGATTATGTTGAGATGGTACTTCTTTGCCTTTCTCCAGCCAGAGTGATTTATTTAGATTGAGCAGCTAAGTCTGACAATGCGCTTTTGTCAAATAGCCCTTACATGTTCACAGAAAATGTGTTGTTTAGGTTTATTAATTTATTATTAAGTATGTGCCTATGCTATATGTATAATAATAATATTATTATATTTGGTGTTATTAAAAGATGTTAGTACAAATAAATGAGACACCGTCAGTCTTTGAAGAGTTAGCAGTCCATTAGAGATGAAACAGATATGCAGGTGACAGATCAGGGTAGATTATGGTAACTCGAGAGGAGGTATGGAAAAGTGCCATGGCGATGTTTCACAGGCCAGGTGGAGTGAGCCACCAGAGAGAGAGAAGTTAAAGAAAACAACTGAGAGAACTGAGGTAGGGGAAAGAGGTAAGATCGAAAGTGCAGAACAGAGGGTTAACTTTGAAAATAGACAAAGATACACCCTCTTTTAATATTGAGGAGAAGAAGGTAAAATCAGACAGTGACAGAATATTGAGGTGGAAGGGAGATGGAAAATGAGGGATAATTTACATTAGGTTTCTCCATTTTTCTCATTTTTCATCTGAGGATGAAAAATTTTCATTTTCATCTGAGAGGAAGACAGGGATAATAGTTTTTTTTAATAACAGTACTATAACAATAATAGGATAACAGTAATAATAGTGGCAGCATTTACCATTGGTTGAATTCTTACTATATGTGCATGACTAGCTGCTTTATTGTATATACTTTATATCATAATTGATAAAAGTAAGTAGTATTATGCCTGTTTTACAGATAAGGGAAATAAATTCAAAACTATTTAGTAATTTTTGATTGCAAAGATCTTGAGCCTTTTATTATCTCATATCGCCTCAAAGATTTTGAATGAGATGGATTTGAGGTTTTGAGTAGAGTTAGTGAGTTTTGACATAGTTACCTTTAAGGGATTGATCAAAATAAATAAAATATTAATAAGCTTCTTGAGCTCAGATTAAAGAGAGTAGATACATGGCTCATAGCCTAGCTCAAGAAGTCCAAGATGAGAAGTGAAGAAAATGGAAGATTGTATTATTTTTCCAAATAATATCCTTTCAATAAAGTACCCATCTAGATAAGAGGGAGTAGTAACGATATTTCTTATGACACAGCTTTCTGTACAAGGATGCTGGAAAAGATGCTTCCCCTAGGGGAAACAATAACTCTACTTCTTTCTCCAAGCCTTTGGTAACCTCTAATCTGTTTTCTGTCTCTGAATTTGCCTATTCTAGATACTTTACTTAAGTGGAATTATGCAGTGCATTCTTTTGTGTCTCATTTGTTTCACCTAGCATATTTTCAAGCTCATCTGTGTTGTCCAACATATAGCTGTATGTCTGCGTCACAGTTTGCTTACCCATTCATCTGTTTATGGACACTTGGGTCGTCTCCACTGTGACTTGGGCACCAGTGCGCATAGTTTTTTGGAGTGTATAACCAATTGTGACGTTGCTGGCTA